GCGCGTGCGTGAGTGCTTGGACCAGATAACAATGTGAGAGAGTGCAAGAACGACAATATATATATTTAATATAATATTTATATTGTACGACGTATACATGGGGTGGTTTTGCAAAGTCAGCAGGAGACGATAAGATTCGGTAAAAGAAAAAGAAAAAATCCGCGGTACATACAAACACATCTTGCGTACTGGTAACAAAAAATTAATAGACAGCAGTGAAGGGTCGATCGGCGCCTTAAATAATAATAATAATAAAAATCGAAATTTGCTTCGAAATTGAATATAATATAATATACCAGCTATGTCCTATATATACAAGAATCAGAAACGACTATAATATTACGGCGCCTACGAGATATATCAAAAAGACGCAAGTAGGTATATTTAGGCAGTTACGAGGACGTATTAAGAATATGACACAATACAAGTAAAGGTATATATATATATATATAGATACATTATATTCGTGCCACGGTAGTCTCGAACAGCGGGCCGAACGAATTTTAGAAGAAAATGTGATTAGAGGTACTCGTTATCGCGGGCTTATGTACTATTTTTTTTCTACTTGAGAAAGGTACGACACGAAATATGTGTATAATAGCACTTATGAAGCATTAGTGTGTTTCCGAACGATAAAATGATATATACAAACGTATTTCGTTTGCGTGGCATGCACGAATGACAGACGGAGATAATTTCTGTGAGAACTGTGTATTGTCTTAGTTTTCATTAACTCGTTATTACCGCGTTAACACAAATCATGGTTGTTACACTAGTGCCTAAAAATAGTTGAAAAAAATATATATTTTTTTTAATATTAGTAAAGTATGACAGATAGGTAGGGCAGGTATAGGTACTATATCTATGACGACAACTTAACCATTTTTAACTCCTCAACACCATATGGAAACTAATGAGGTCCACGAATTTAACGAAAAATAAACGTAGGTATGTAATATTTAAATCACCTAACTAAAACTTAAGGTCAGTTACAATTTATATCACTATTCATAAGAAAATTTTAAAATATTAGATATTAGTACACTAATATTTAAATTACACTTAATATTTTTTAAATTAACTGTTTTGTATATTTATTTCTCTTATGCTCAAAAAATATCTAAAAATCACATTTTCAAAATACTTCTAAATTAATGTACTTGATTATTTTAATCAATAGATAATGTACAGCATAATAGAAAGATATCTTCAACAGTTTTGAATGCAACAAATTTCCCGGAAAAATTTACACAAAAAAGAAAAAACTATTGTAAAACCAATAAGGTACATTTCTCTTTTACAGTATTAAAAACCTAAATAATATATACCTAATAATAAATATAAAATGTCAAGTTCCATTCTTAGACAAAATGTTTCTGAGGATTAAACACGATAATACTATAAAACACCGAACCATTATTACATTATACCTCAACCTTTAAAGATCTTCAAATGTGCCGTTGGAAATGTAACGGAACATTTTTTTTTCATTTATCTTACATACGTTAATAAATAATACTAACAGAAACAGAGATGGCCATTAATCTATGTTCATCGAATGACACTCGACGGCGATTCTGTACAGTAGATGTACCTATATGTGCGAGTTTCTTTTTTTTGGTTATTATAAAATTGTAAACGTTTCAGAACAAAGTATTATAATATATACCCCAAGTCCTGGCAGTATGCGTTTATTGACGTGCAATGTTTTACAATACCCGAGGGTTATAGGCATTTTTGAACGAAATTCGGCACGTACGGTCTTTGAAGTCCACTTGTTACCTATATATATAACCTATACGGTGCACCCAATCTACCTGCGAGTCGGCAAACATCCTTTGAAGTTAAGTAAAGATTTTATTGCACCTATAGAATACATGTAAGTATTCAACTACTCTCAATGTTTGTTCCCGCCGTAAGTCAACAAGCAAACATTGTTTCTATCACCAGACAATATCATTTATGTTTATACCAGCTATTATGTAAGATTATTGTATATAAATAAATATGGATACTTTACAACTCTCGTTGCGTCCTACGAGAAAATAGAGAGAAAGAATAACCGATATTTGTGCAATGAGATGCACAACACTTGTTTTAAAAAATGGAATTTCACATAGGTACATAACGAGTTAATAAAACCTAGAAATGAGTGGTGTTTATTATAGAAGCAAGTAGGTCTTCTCTCTTTGCGTTTATCTCGCAACGATGCTGTTCTTTTTAATATCCACAGATTATTATTTTTTATTATATGTGATATGTGTGTGTATACATATATACAAGTGAACTACGTGAGCTGAATATTTCGAGTCTATGCGGTGCATCCGACTTCACTATAAGCTTCTAAGAGAAAAAAAAAATTAAAAGAAATCTTAAGTATACGTATACCTTCAAAATAATATATAGTTTAGTAACTACTTTGAAATTGTTAAAAACAAATGAACATTACGATAGTGAACGATTTGAATAATTTTATAATTAAGAATAGTCAGTCCTTACAATAAAACTATATAGTAAGGGTTATTTATTCTTATTATATTTTTGTTCGTTTTATAAAAACCAATATTATATATCCTTTCGAACACCAAAATGCAACATTAATCGATCAGATATGTCAGGGAGATAGGGAGTCTGTTTCTTTCACTCTCCCACCCCATATCCAGTCATCACTCTCTTTATTTCTTTATCTCTCTCAGGTCTTCAAGAACTCTTGCACCGGTGTTTATGTCGCATAAAAAAACATGCACGATTCGGGTTTATGGAAATGTACCATAATTATCTGTACGCATATGGAATATTCGATTGGTGAGTAGGCTGAACGAATAACCTGACTATTCGAATGTAAAATAATAGCCGGTCTACTACAAATTAACATAAAATAGTTTTGTATCTCTTAAAAAATTAAAACGAAACAAAACATATCACGCGGGATAAACTAATTTAGTATTTGAAGATGTACCCAAATATATATATATCATAAACTACACATAAATATACGATTTTGTGTTTTTGTGTATGACCAACTCGCGATTGGTGACATGCTGGACATAGACAATAGTTTTCCGGTTACACTTTTTTCAAAGGGTTCAACTAATGTTTAACGCATTTATCGTACATCATCAGATATGAGATATACCTAGGTTTTATTTACATTTTAATTAAACTATTAGGATTTTAACAAGACAGCTATATATTGGCGTTTGATAGGATAAATAACATTTGAAATATATACCTATATACCTATCTATCTTTATATTTATATATACACATATACACCTCGTTTATAAATTGTTGTCCATCACTGGCGATTATAATAATTATTATGTAGGTATGTGTAAATAATATCAAACGGGCCTAAATCCAGTAATATAAATGAAAAAAATTTCAAGTGGGGACTCAAAACATTAAATATCTATTAAAATAATTTTTACTAAAAATTAAATCCTTCTATTTAATTAATATTATTAAGGGAGTTAGCCTAATGCCATTACCTATATTTTTTATTGCTTTTTGTATATTGAATATATTGGAAATATGATGAACTTGCGACGGATGCAGGATTTAACAAAATCGTGGCACGTGATTTTTTGCAGCATAATAACGGATGTAATAATACTGCAGTGGGTTGGTAATATAATAATGTAGAATATAGGTTTTAGGATAATATAACGTGTGTACACATACGCATGAATAGAGTGTGAAAACAGATATTTCTCACGCGGTTTCCTAACAATATCCACAAAGTTCTGTTCGACGTGTCAACATCTCAACACAACACGTATTTGTACCTATACATATCATAAAATATATTGTTGTAGTTGTGTAATATAATATATATATAACTAAACCGGCAACCTAAGCGGGGCCCTTTGACGGCGAGGAAACAAACATCCTTTACATAATAATAGTAATGATAATGTGCTGTTGTCGAGTGTATTGTGCTGTACGTGTAAAGGTCCGACAAAAGAGGCAATAAAATGTATAGGCGCGAAGGGGTTCCTCTATAAACGTACTGTTTGACAGTATTATATATATATATATAAATATTATAAAAACGGAAAAAAATGTATTCGTTTAGCCCCTGTGACGAAGTTAAATTACGCGTATGCGTATACACCGCGTATGTGTGTATATAAATATATATATAGATAAGAGATATATTATTCTATGCCAAAAGTATAATTAGAAATACAAAACCGGCGACAGACGCATCCACCCGAATTCGGTAATAACATAAATCTTAAAACGGGAACGATGTGACAGACAGACGAGCAAATATTTTCAATAATATTTTACTGGGTTTGGTTTCTTTTACTTTTTTTTTTAATGCCTCGTTCGCTTACGTTCGCCAAATCCTGATATTATATACAGCACACATGCATTATCAAGAAACTGGTACGAATTTTCGTCCACCACCGCCACCTCTCACCACCAGACGATCACGGCCATATCTAATATGTGGCGGCGGCACACGGTGCGTGCGTATGGGAAAAGTGTTATGCGAAAACGTCGTTCGGGAGACTTGAACGCAAGTGAAGTAAGTAATAAAATATTACAAGAGACTTTAACGCGTACACGTGAGTTGAATATAAATTCCAACCGGCGACCTCTATGTTTTATTTATTAGAAAGGGAAAAATTGTACATAGTTTTACCGGACGGAACATCTTTTATTACATATTATACACATAAACATACACATACATATAGACATAAATAGGTAAGATATATATTGTGTAATTACACTGGGTACGTTAGCTAAATACGTTATAACGTCATTCTTATCCGAATATTTGTTGAACGCACGTGTGATCAACCTTTACAACTATATAGCACTCGCAATAAACGACGAAATCAAGACAGTTATCAAGATCAACACCCTAACCTATGACTAGACTTAATGAATAAAGGTATTATAAGGACTGATTGCCTAAACAGCAACTGTATTTTGTTAAGGAGTCATGAGATGGAGACAACGAAAATTCAGTCAAGTTCAAGTACCTGTATCCTGCAATGTCGATTCCCGAGGGACGACTATGGGTCGTTGTAAGATTTGTGTTAATCCAAAAGTAATGCGTGCGTTATCCAACAGTGTACTACACGACCGCACAGTATTCTTACCCAAATAACAACAACACGCGATGAGATTAAATTTTTGGCGCACTGATAATATAACGATATAGATATGATATCACAGCAAAAATCACAAAAATATACAAATTTACAACAAAAAAACGGTAGTAACGACACGAACACAGTATACGCACTTCACACGCACAAGCAAACCATCGAGGTATATGAAAAATATTAAAACCTTTAAAAATATTTAAAAATAACACCACACACACACAAACCGAAAACGAAAACACGATGCGTCGGAACGGAATTATGATTTAATAATACGCGATCTTTAGTTAACAAATATAAAACGCATAGATATAATCTATTTTCATTTACAACGAAAACCGAGTGGATAAATAATACAATGATGGCTTGAAGCGGAGGACACAAGAGAAAAATAATTAAAACGGCGCGCGCACCCGAACGTACGGAACGGCGGTTGTGCAGTGACTGACTCGTCCTGGTCGGTTCCAGAACTCGTTTGTGCGCTTGCCACAAGTGCGGGCTGTGTGTTCGCGCCTGAGCGTGCGTGCTTCAATATTCTTATGCGGCGAACGTGCGCGTGCGCGCGCGGGCCAGCTCCTCTCGGGTGTCGCGGGGCCCGCGATGCGCGCGCCGCCTTCGTCGACAAGGATCGCGGGTACCGCCGCCGTTCGGTACGTGGACCGCGCCGTGGTGACCCGACAAGG